GAGAGAGAGAGAGAGGTTTTGACAGTGGGTTTTTATTTGATTTTTCTGTAGAGTTATCTGCCTAGTGAGACACCATTAGCATTGAAGAAGCTGAGAGAAGAAGAACTGTTGAACTTGAGGGGAAATGGAGTTGGAGAGCTTAAAGAGTGGGATCGAGTTTATGATTATGCTTATTACAATGATCTTGGTAATCCAGATGATCCTGATCTTGCTCGTCCTATTCTTGGAGGCTCCAAAGAGTTCCCCTACCCTCGCAGAGGAAGAACAGGAAGACCACCCACAAAAACAGGTGAATTACACCATTTACTCCATACCATCTATTTATTCCCTCGAGCAAACTATATACTAGGATACTTTTTATTTCTCAAATTTGGTATATAATATCTACAACACATAGATTAATCTCACCAAAATAAATTTCGTAAACAAAATCTCTATGTACTAAAAAAACTAATGCCTAAATATTGAAAAAAACTGCCCCGTTTATGAACGGCTAGATTTAAAAATACAAATTCTTTCTTTCAAAAATAATCAACAAATAGTTGTTATATGGTTTGCAAAATTTTAGAATAATAGTTAGGAGTTTCGACTGAGGGAGCAGTTTCACAATGTGTGTAATATCTATAAAAAATTTGAAAACATGTGTGGTTTCCCTACCGTCCGGTATTGTTATTGTTGGAAGGGTGGGCACTTGTGAAAAAAAAAAAAGGGCCACCGACTGGGGTGGTGCTCGTCGTAATTTTTCCCATATCGGATTAAAGGGTAGAAATAGTGCCCCTATGTAATTTTCTCATGCATTTGAGTAGTAGCCTAATAAAATAAGCAAAAACTGAATCGAAATGAACAGAGAAAAAAAATCTCACATTTGTTATGATTTATGAAACTGTTTTTTTATTTTCCCAGATCCCAAGTTTGAGAGAAGACTGCCATTGCTAAGTCTTGACATTTATGTCCCAAGAGACGAGAGGTTTGGGCACCTTAAGATGTCTGATTTCTTGGCCTATGCTTTGAAATCAATTAATCAATTCTTGTTGCCCGAGATAAAGGCCTTATTTGGCAAAACACCAGATGAGTTTGATAGCTTCGAAGATGTGATGAAGATGTATGGGGGTGGGATCAAGTTGCCTGAGAATGAAGCCCTTGACACATTAAAGGGACTCATCCCTTTCGAAATGATCAAAGAACTTCTTAGAACTGATGGAGAGAGATTCCTCAAATTCCCATTGCCTCAAGTCATCCAAGGTAAAACTGAAGAAACAAGAGAGAGAGAAAGAGAAAGAAGAAGAAGTGAGAGTCCTTAACTAGGACGCATGCTGTTAGAGAGAGTCCTTAACTAGGACACATGTTGTTAGAGAGAGAGAGAGAAAGAATCCTAAACTAGGACACATCTTGTTAGGGAGAGAGAGAGAGAGTCCTTAACTTTAACTCATGTTGTTTAATGGTGTTTGGAAATAGAGGATATGATGGCTTGGAGGAGTGATGAGGAATTCGCCAGGGAGATGTTGGCCGGTGTAAATCCTGTTGTGATCCGAAGCCTAAAAGTAAGTAATAACTGATAAGCGCATAAATTATGCTGCTGCAAGAGCGTTCTGTGCATCTACTCGCTCACCCAAAATACCTATTTAGGAGGATTTTTCCGGTCTTTCATTTTGCGAACTATGTAAGAATTACTGGATGCTTATTTCTAAAAGAAATTTTGAACACTGAGTTTTGCAACACTTAGATCTTGCCCTTCAAAAATTTGACCGCTTGTATTTCATCTTGATGCATTAGCTTTTCTCGTACATAAAGTGTTCATTTTGGAACTTTTTTTTAATTAAGATTAGTCTATGGGTTGTAGAGATTACATCCTTCAATTTGAGATCTAAAAAGTTATCGCTAGTATGTGTTTCGCTTGAGGGAGTAAATAGATCGTATAGTCCCATTGGAGTAGGAAATCTTTAGCATAACGGATTTTGTGCCCTAACAACCACTTTTTAAGGAATAGTACACAAACAACTCTATTTACTTTTGATATAAAAAATTTACTTTTGATATAAAAAGGTTACAATCACGTCTAATTTCAAATCGGTTAATTGTGAACGTATTATTCACGAGATTTAAAGTTAAAAAATAAAATCTCAAACTTTAGTATAGACCCCAAGCTATTCAATTTGACAACTAATGGCGAGTAGCAATTATGACCTTCTTGTAGCAAAGATAAATGGTATTACAGTATGCCATTTCTATTTATAAAGTAGGAATAGCACTGAGTCTCAGCTATCGGTTTAGGTTTCCATTCACACTAACACATTGGAAAGCCATTAATTATTTCGGGTAGAATGAGAAAAACCTTAGATAAAAGGCCCATGTATCGAGGATAAACTTATCTCTCTCTCTCTACTAATATTTCATTGACCTTTTGTTTAAGGCTATCTACTCCTCCAATGAAAAATTATCTCTTTGATTAAGTTTGAGATGATGCTCTTATTGAAGTATCCTGGGTATCTTAACATGACTTTAAAGTGGAACTTTTGACGTGCAGGAATTTCCACCAAAGAGCAAATTAGATGGCTCAAAGTACGGAAACCAAGATAGTAGCATCAGGGCGCACCATATCGAAAGCAATCTACAGGGATTAACGGTGGATGAGGTACTAGAGAGATGCCACTTCATCAAGAGTATTGAACCATTATTTTTCTCACAATATCTGATTTCCAGTGGTTATCTTTTGGTTCCTAGTTCAAAATATTTTCACATTTCCACTTTTTTTTTCTTTGCATGTTCAACCAATGAAACAAAAACTACGCCAAAACCAAAAAAACGAAAAAAGAAAAAAAAGTTTATACCTAAAAAATATAGTTGGAAAGCCTTCTACTCGAACATAAGGACCTCGAGATGTATGGATATAAAAAAAAAATTTGAAATTCTTATTATAACTAGGATTGAATGCAAATTTTCAAATCATCATAAGGTTTCTGACACTAAAACTACATCTCCCGACAAAATTTAAAAGATACCTTACCTCTATAGTATAAGGATGCAACCTTTTCATAGATATAACTAATTCTTTGACTGGACAAATGAAATGTGCTATTAAAATATTTATCTTAGTTGCAACTGATTGTTTTCAAATATCCAAAGGACACCATTCACTAAAGGGTGTGGTTTGTATAATAAGGCCGACGCCCTAAATAATCAAAGTAAGAAGCACCTCAAAATATTACCAAAATATGTTATTTTAATATCAGAAAACTTTAAGAGGACTCAAAAATTTATTTTCATCTCTAAGTATAAAATCTAAATATTCAAAAGTAGTGTAGATGGAGCAGATCTATGAACATTTAAAGAACTTAAAAATTGATGGCCTAGATAATACATTACAAAATGCACTATTTCCAAAACTTGAAATCTATTTTTTCACATGTACATAAATCTTGAGGTTGAAATGATCAAATTGAAGGTTTTTCAACATTGAAACAACCCTCTTCTTGTGAATTTTTAAGGTGCGCCTTAATTTGATTGTTTAAGGCCTCACCCTCGTATAAATTTTTTCCTTTACTAAAATATGAGTATAATTACTATATTCTTTAGGTTTGACTGTGTTGTGATTTGGACACAGGCATTGAAGAAGAATAAATTGTTTATCTTAGATCACCATGACACCTTCATGCCTTACCTAAACCGCATCAACTCCACAACAACCAAGACATATGCTTCAAGAACCCTCCTCTTTCTCCAAAATGAGGGGACCCTCATCCCCTTGGCCATTGAGCTTAGCCTTCCGCACCCTGATGGTGAAATCCATGGAGCTATCAGCAAGGTTTTCACTCCTTGTGACAGTGGTGTTGAGGCCTCTGTTTGGTTGCTTGCTAAGGCCCATGCTGCTGTTAATGATTCTGGCTTCCACCAACTCATTAGCCACTGGTATGTTATCTAAATGTTTCATTTTTGCATGGCTTACCTTTTTGTGCCATTTTTTTACAATGTGGAGTTTTGGTTAATTTTTTTGGGAGTAATTCAGTGGGAAAGATATGCCTTTATCTGTTTTTCTCAAATAGTTTAGGAGTTAGTTTTTTAAAAGTGTTGTGGGGTGGTGTCAGTGCGAATAGAGACCACAACATGGTGACTAAGGTGTAGGGGTGCTATCACCATGGCCCCGGTCCCTTTCCTAGAGTTTTGATTACTTTTGAATCATGTAAAAGAGATTATACAACAGTCTTATGGCATGGGATACTCTATTATTATGTTATTGTTAGGGATCCTTAGTACATAGATTTGAGAACCTAAGGGCATTTTGATCAATTTATGAATCATGTTGAAACAAGTTTACCATACACTATTTATATATGGATTGTGGTGCATCATGGCATGCACACCATTTATTTCCAATAGTTGATGGTCGAGCTTCAGGACATAACTATAAAAGAGACTGTATACTATGAGACTATTTACCATTGTTACAATGCTGGTAAAAAAAACTCATAACTATTAGATTTCAAATTCAGTAGTTTAGGATGTGCCACAAAATTTGAGAAATATTTTTTTAAACTTTAAATCTATTCAATAACACACTATTTAAAATGTGATGAACAAAAGTGATTGTGACCTTCTTGTATTAAAAATAAATAGCTCCTCTTTATACTTTTTTTTTACGGGAAATGACAAATATAAATGGGCTTTGTTGGGCAGGTTAAACACGCATGCAGTGATAGAGCCATTTGTGATAGCAAGCAACAGGCAGCTAAGTGTGCTCCATCCCATCCATAAGCTTTTGCACCCACATTTTAGAGACACAATGAACATCAACGCTTTGGCGAGGCAAACACTGATCAACGCTGGAGGAATTTTGGAGATGACTGTCTTTCCGGGCAAATACGCCATGGAAATGTCTGCCGTGGTCTATAAGAATTGGGACCTCACCAGACAAGGACTCCCGGCGGATCTCTTAGACAGGTAAAACCTATCACCCTTCTCTATTGTTTTCAGGAGAGAGAGAGAGATTTAGTGTTTTACATTTTTCTACTTGTTTTGAAGCCTAGAGAGAGATATTTATTAATGTTTATTTTTTAAGCAAATTACACGCGAGGGTCTATTATCATTTGTTGTCTAATATGACCAATATTACTAGCATCTCTACACCCACGGCCTTTTTTTTTTTTTTTAAATTAAGTTGCTACATCTGACAATGAAAACACCAGGCATGAGGCTATTCTTTCTGTTCTAAAAAAACTTCTCTCTAAAAACCTTATTTCAAATATCTGCAAATCTGTCTCTTTATACCCCATTTCAAGATTATGTTTCTCTCACTACCCCATTTCAAGATTCCGTTGTTCTCTCTGCTCTATTACACAATACAAAAACTCTCTATTGTTTTCAGAGACAGAGAGAGATTTATTGTTTACTTTTTTTTTTACTTGTTTTGAAGCTTAGAGAGAGAGAGATTGATTAATGTTTATTTTTTTAAGAAAATTACATGCAAGGGTCTATTACCATTTGTTGTCTAATAT